TTTGTTTTCTTAAATATTTTATGTAGGCTTATTTTAGTTTCCCTATTTAATAATTCCAATATTTGAAGTTTCTGGGGGACTAAATCTTTCTTGGTTGTTTTTGCTGACTGACTCGTGGTGGCTTATCTCCCTGTAATTTTTTTTATTATAAGTGTATTTTATTGAATTTAAATCAATGGAAATTTTAAGGTCCTACATTTGGGATGCTTTCCTTCAGAAAGACTTTTATATAACTCTGCTAAAAGCCAGATGGCATCTGGACCACTTTAGTGCCCCCTTCAAGGATCATGGAGGTCCAGCTTCCTCATGTTGCCATAGCTCCAGGTTTAGCTTCTCAGTTGCAGAACTGGTGTTGGCATTTGCAACGTAATGAAAACTCCCATATCTATCTCTTTTAAAAATAGAAATTAGCCGGGCATGGTGGCTCAAGCCTGTAATCCCAGCACTTTGGGAGGCCGAGGCGGGTGGATCACAAGGTCAAGAGATCGAGACCATCCTGGTCAACGTGGTAAAACCCCGTCTCTACTCAAAATACAAAAAATTAGCTGGGCATGGTGGCGCGTGCCTGTAATCCCAGCTACTCAGGAGGCTGAGGGAGGAGAATTGCCTGACCCAGGAGGCGGAGGTTGCGGTGAGCCGAGATTGCGCCATGGCACTCCAGCCTGGGTAACAAGAGTGAAACTCCATTTCAAAAAAAAAAAAAAAAAAAAGGAAATTAATACAGAAGAACGTCTTTATGACCTCGAAGGTAGAGAATTTTAAAACTATCTATCGAGATCACCAACCATAAATGAGAAGATTTGTACATTTGGCTTTATTAAAATAAATAGCTTTTGTTTGCCAAAAGATAGCATGCAATAAGCAAAAAAGCAAGGTACGGAGTTGAAGATATTTGCCACATATATAATTAATGAAGAATTAGCCTCTAGGATATGTGAAAACTCTTTCAAATCAATAATATACTATCACATTGAAAAAATGAGCAAAGACTTAAACAGAAGAAAATATAAATGATCAATAAACATATGCAAATATGCTCAGTCTCATTATTAATTAGGGAAATGCAAGTATAAACGCAGCGAGATACCATTAGCTATCCTTGAGATTGGCTAAAGTCAACAGTTTGATAATGCCAATTGTTGGCAAGGATATGATGCAGCAGAAACTCTGCAGACTGTTGTTGGTTAATTGGTGCATTCAGTTTGGGAAACAGTTTGGCATTATCTAGTAAAATTGAAGATACATATATCCTGTGATGGTTATTCTACTGCCAGGTAGAAGACCTTAAAGATCTCCTAGGATACATGCATCAGGATATTCAAAGCAGCATTGTTCATCATACCCCACACTAAATACAACACAGTGTCTATCCACAGTAAAATAAATAAATGTATCATGGTACAGTCCTATGATGGGATACTTTACAGCAATGCAAATGAACAAACTATGGTTGTACTCAACAACATGGATAAATCTCATAAACATAATATTGAATGACAGAATTAAGGCACAAAAGAATATATATAGTATGATCCATTCTTCTTAAGTTCTAAATCAGGCCAAATGAAATGATGTTGTTTAGGGATACAGACATAGGTGGTAAAACTATATAGGAAGGCAAAGAGAATGATTATCACAAAAGTCAGAATAGTAGATACCTCGGTTGGAGAGAGAGGAGTTTATGACTAAGAGGGGACAAATAGCAGGGACTGGGAGAGGGCAAAAGGAGGGGTTCTGGGAGTAGAAAATGTTTTCTTTGCTCATGTGAGTATGGTTCTGTAGGTTTTCTTTTCATGATGATTCATCAACATGTATATTTATGTTTATGATAGTTATATTTCATAATTGTTTTAAACAAAGAAATAATCAGCACCAGGAGAGGCAGAGGTATGACATCCAGGAAAAGTGCACAGGTAGCTTCACCATTGTTGGTGATGTTCTTAAGTTAGGTGTGGGTTCATGAGTGTTCATTTCATTTTTATGCTCATAACTTACATATACTTTATATGTTAGATATACCTCATATGGTAAATATGCATAAGCATTGAGGGATCCTGATAGTAGGAAATAGGATGATTTGCATCAGGATTGTATGTACTAACCAAATTTCCAGGTTCCTAAATAATGGAGACTTAACTGGTTAGTTAGAGAGAAAAGGAATTTTTTGAAAGGACATTGGATAGCTCACAAAATTGATGAAAAAGCTGAAGAATGAGGCTTGGAACATGGAAAGGAGCCATGGGAAATTAGGCAGCCAGAAATAGAGACCAAATCAATACACAGGAAGCATCTGGTTAGTATCCAACTGCTTCTGTCATTGGCACAGCCACCACTGGACATTGGATGGTACCCTTATTGCTTCCACTTCCACCTTTGGAAAGATTCTAAATGCTGTTTGCTTCCCTCTATTACTCCACAATCAAGGTCTTAGGTAGGAGCATCTGATTGGAAGGTCCTGTACCCAAATTCTAGAGACAAGGGATCTGGGAAATGGGCTTTTAGAGGTTCTTTATAGGAATTCTTTCAAATAAGAAGTGTGTTTAGATACTGGGAAGACAAAAATGAAAAACTCTTATCACAGGAAATGTTAGAAATAAACATATCTAGCCTCAGCCTGTTCCCAGGGAGGAGAAAAGATTAATAGGATCAGTTAAGATCTGCAAAATTAACGGGGCCATGTGTTTACTTGGAGACAAGGGATTCTGCACAGTCACTGACCTGAAAGCCAGCCAGATTTTCTCTTCCTTCTGCTTTGCAGTGTACCACTCTTTGTCTTTTCTAGTTTTTCTGCCTGTGATTGGCAGTGGGAACTGGGGTGGAATTCTGATCAGGCCTGCCAGGCCAGGAAGCTGTCTTCAATTCAGGAAGGTGAGGCATGACCCTGCTGCCATCCCCAAACTGGCCAGCATCAGAGAACTCTAAAGGATATGTTTTTGGGTACCTGACCAACCGTGAAGACAACTGACATTTGGGCCTGGCATGGTGTAATCCCAGCACTTTGGGAGGGTGAGGCAGGAGGATCACAGGAGCTCAGAAGTTCTAGGCCAGCCTGGGCAACATAGTAAGACCTTGTCTCTACAAAAAACAAAACAAAACAAAACAAAGCAAAAATATATATATATATTAGCTGGGTGTAGTGGTGCATGTCTATATTCCCAGCTACTTGAGAGGCTGAGGTAGGAGGATAGCTTGAGCTGGGGAGACTGAAGTTTCAGTGAGTGGTGATGGCACCACAGCACTCCAACCTGGCAGGCAACAGAGAGAGATCCCATCTCAAAACAAAACAAACAAAAAACGCTGGCATTTGGATTCTTGTTTGGCTGGTGATCTAGTTTTTCCATCATGCAAAACCCTGGAGGAAAAGAGGGACAAGTGATAGCATTCAGACTCTAAATTCCACCCTGAACTTCCAGTTAGCTGTCTCTTAGACTGGCTAGTGATATAACCTAACATAAAATGGCTATATCAGATTCTTCTCTTTGGAAACTATACACCAATTATTAATAACATTTATTTTGGGGCGAGAGAATACAGCATCATTTGTTTTAAAATATAGTAGTTTTGTGATTAAAATATTTTTTCTTGGTTTTTTTTTTGGTATGATCATAGCTCATTGCAACCTCAACCTCCTGGGCTCAAGTGATCTTTCTACTTCAGCCTCCCAAGTAGTTGGAACTACAGGCACACGCCACCACACCTGGTTAATTTTTTTTTTTTTTTTTTTTGTAGAGATGGGTTTCACTATGTTGCCCAGGCTGGTCTTGAAATATTGGGCTCAATTGATCTGCCTGCCTCGACCTCCCAAAGTGCTGGGATTACAGGTGTCAGCCACTGTGTCTGGCCTTTTGTTTTTCTTCCTGGGAGATTTCTATAATTATGTTTTCCAACCTAATTTTTTGAATGCTTAATTTTTCATTTTTTGTATATAGCATCTTGTTTGGTTTTGGGTGGAATATTTTCTTATATCTCTTTGAGGATATTAATTATTGGTTTCCTCTCCTCCCTATATGGTCTCTATTTCTTCCAAGTTCTTTTTAATGTTTGTTGTCTTCTTTGTCTTTTGTGTTAGAAAATTTTCCTCAAATAACTGATGGTATTTAGTTGTTTGCCTGTATTTAAGAGTGAGGCACTAAAAACTGAAGCTCTGTGTCTAGCTGGGGCCTGTTGACTGTGGGCCTTCCTGTAGAATGCTCAGTCATTAGAATGACCTTAGCACTATCTGGAAAATTCACGATAATGCAGAATTCAGTTGGATGTTGTTTAATGTCCATAGGGGTGTTGCCCTACCATAAAGAAGTATATGAAAACATTTTGGGATTCTACTAACTCCAAAAAGGTTTTAACAGACGGCGATGGTTAATATTGAGTGTCAACTGGATTGGATGGAAGGATGCAAAGTATTGTTCCTGGGTGTGTCTGTGAGGGTGTTGCCAGAGGAGATTAACATTTGAGTCAGTGGGCTGGGAGAGGCAGACCCATGTTCAATCACCTGCCAACATCATCTAATCAACTGCCAGGGTAGTTAGGATAAAAGCAGAAGGAGGGACTTGGAAGGACTAGACTTGCTGACTCTTCTGGCCTCCATCTTTCTCCCATACTGGATGCTTCCTGTCCTGGAATATCAGACTCCAAGGTCTTCAGCTTTTGGACTCTTGGACTTATAACAGTGGTTTGCGAGGGGCCCTTGGGCCTTTGTCCACAGACTGAAGGCTGCACTGTCAGCTTCCCTGCTTTTGAGGTTTTGGGAGTCAGGCTGGCTTCCTTGCTCCTCAGCTTGCAGAGGGTCTATTGTGGGACTTCACCGTGTGAGCCAATACTCCTTAATAAACTCTCATTCATATACACATCTATTCTATTAGTTCTGTCCCTCTAGAGAACCCTGACTAATACACAGACTTAAATAAGAATGGAAAACATTACGTATCTAAGGAGAACTGAAGAAATGCAAAACCAATTAGTGATGAAAGATGTTAGCTACAATCTTTTTTTTTTTGAAACAGGTTTTCCCTCTGTCACTCAGGCTGGATACAGTGGCATGATCACAGCTTACTACAGTGTCAACCTCCTGGGCTCAGGTAATTCTCCCACCTTCGCCTCCTGAGTAGCTGAGACTACAGGCACACACCATGACACCAGCAGATTTTTTTGTATTTTTAGTAGAGGCAGGGTTTCACCATGTTGCCCAGGCTGGTCTCGAACTCCTGGATTCAAATGATTCATCTGCCTTGGCCTCCCAAAGTTCTGGGATTACTGTGCCTGTCCTAGCTACAATCTTATTTGGGGTTGCAAACTCCAGGAATAAAGGAACGTTTAGGACTGAAACCCAAGGACCAGATTTTAGAGTCCAGAATGTAGTGACTACAGAAAGAAACTTTGCTTGGCAATTAGAGTCACAAGAAATACTTCCGGGATTTATAATTCCAAGTATCATGCTCAGCTCAAGTTGTTAGAATAAACTCAGCCAGCTGAGAAGGTGATGTTTTCCTAAGTGGAAAGGTAATGTTTCTTCAAATGAACAACTTCCTTTAATTTTATGAAATTTAGAATTTAGACAAGTTATGAAGTAAACCTATGGTATTAAATGTTAGTTAACATCCTTATTGTAGGTATTTCTTTTTATTCTTATTTTAGAGATGGGGTCTTGGTCTGTCTTGTCAAGGAGAAGGTGTCCCTGAGAACGCAAACATTCCAGAGAGTATCTGAGAACCTACCTGGGAAAAAAGTCTCATCTCACACACACACACACAGTAAGCAAAGAGCCAGAAAATTAGCTTAAAAGCAGCATAGGCATGGGAAGCAGCGTGGGTCTCTAAAGCTTTCCTACCTCTGCCTTGGGAGTACTTCCTATGTGAGCCCTAGTAAGCTCATCTACTTGCCAAACTGGACTTGTCTGAGTCATTTTTTTGGTCTCCTGGCTCCCTCCCAGTTTGGGGGAAGGTTTTTCTCATTACAGGTGTGGTAGTTCATGCCTGTAGTCCTGAGCTACTTAGGAGGCTGGGGCAGGAGGATTGCTTGAGCCTAGGAGTTTGAGGCTGCAGTGAGCAGTGATAGCACCACTGTATTCCAGCCTGGATGGTACCTTGTCTCAAAAGAAAAAAAAAATAGCCATATTAGAGAAACAGGTTAGCCTGTGACTCTAATTTAACATACAAATTGTGTAACTGACTTAGATATGGGATTCAAGATTTAACTCTTAATAAATTTATAACAGTACTGAACCATTTAAGAGAAATCAAGTCCCATTGTATTTATAAATTTAATTATTATGAGACTTATTTTATTTGAGAAGTTATTTGTAGGAGCTTTTCTTGGGAAATTTTGTTATAAGCCAAGGCAAGAATTTAAAATGAAAACAGAATTATTATATGCTGGTATTAATTTTCATTTGTTTGTTTGTTTTGAGACAGGGTCTCACTGTCACCCAGGCTGGAGTGGGTTCAAGAGATTCTCCTGCCTCAGCTTCCTGAGTAGCTGGGATTATAGGCACATGCTACCACACTTGGCTAATTTTTTTGTAGAGATGGGGTTTTACCATGTTGACCAGACTGGTCTTGAACTTCTGACCTCAAGTAATCTGTCCATGTTGGCCTCCCAAAGTGCTGGGATTACAGGTGTGCACCACCACACCCGGCCACGTCTGTTTGTTTTTTGAGACAGGGTCTCACTCTGTTGCCCAGGCTGGAGTGCAGTGGCACAATCACAGCTCACTACACTCCTGGGCTCAAGCAGTCCTTCCACCTCAGCCTCCCAAGTAGCTAGGATTACAGGTGTTTATTATATTTATGAACTTGAATTAAAAATGATTAAGGGAATTAATTAATTAGATGCTAAAAGTCCCCTTAAAAGTTAATATTGCATTTTGGTAGATTTTATAAACCTACCAATCAGATCTGGAAATTAAATTTAAAAGTTTAAGGAAAAGCTAGGCTTTAAAATTTTCAATAGGTAAAATATGAATTAAAAAGAACACAATGGTCTCTGAATAATATTTTTTTGGTCTGAATAATATTTTTGTGTGCCAAAATGGCCGTTAAGTGCATAAAGTACCCATATGGACAATTTGATGAGAATTGGACATTTTTACTGAGAAATTCTCACATGACACCATATATGGGTCATTTCTTTGGGTTGCCCAGTTTCCAAGAACAATACTCCAGTCCCTTACCTATGCAGAAATAACCTGCAGCAGGGCTGGCTTCATGGGCCTGCATCCCATGCAGTATCACAGGGCCCTGCTCTTAGAAGGACCTCACGCTTGTTTTAATACTCTGCTGTTGCCATCTTGAAAATTTTATTCTAAACAAGGAACCCTACATTTTTATTTTGCACTGGGCCCTACAAATTCTGTAGCCAGTCTTGTCCTGTGGTCAGAGTTCTGGTGGCCAACCGTGGGAGCAGGCTAGAGTTTCAAAGGTCAGTATGCAGACTCCCTCCAATCCCTGAGTTTTCTGAATTGCCTCCCTCCCACCTGCCAAGTTGTGTCTGTTGTCCACCAGTCCATAGTCTCTCCAGCTCAACTTTAAAAGATCCACTTTCTGCCAGGGTTGGGGGAGGGAGTGTCAGCTGGCCATATGGGCTAGAGGAGGCGGAGATGAGGGGAATATCTAGGTCCTCTGCTTTTGCTAATTCAGTGACAGGAATTACCTTGCCTTTTTTTGTTTTCTTTTTGAGACAGGGTCACACTCTGTTGCCCAGGCTGAATGAAGTGCAGTGGCACGATCATAGCTTACTGAAGCCTTGAAATCCTGGGCTCAAGTGATCTTCTCACCTCAGCCTCCTGAGTAGCTAGGATTACAGTTGTGCGCCACCACAGCCGGCCTGAAACACCTTGTTTTCCAGGCTTTCTGCCCTGTAGACACTTGCAGAATGGAAAAATTGAAACTTAAAATTAATTACCAATTGGCCTATTCCCAAATTTTGCTGACATCTCAACTCTAATGTATGTCCTCTGCCATTCTTTGCCCTTATGGGTTTATGCCTTTTGTTCCTTTACTAAGGTTTTGGGAGAAACAGAAAATGCAGGTGTTCAATCCGCCGGGCATGACCAGTAGTCTCAATTTAGCTTTCATAGAAACAACTACTTTTCTCCTTAGTACTCAATTTTTGTTACTTTATTTAATACGTAATCAAATTATGTAATTACAATGATAAATACAACTGGCATAAGTAAGTTTAAGAACAAACCCGTTTTGACTCTTAGTAAATATGCAACTCAGTGGGGACAGAAGTATGTGGGCATTAGCCATTTTACAGAAGGAATGAGAATTGTGGTTAAGTTGGGCAAGCTGGATTATTTGGAGATTAGTCAACTGAGCTTCTATTTTAAATAAATGAATAAGGATTCATCGAGAGGGTGCATTATCGAAAGTCTAAATGATTTGGCTTCTTGGACAACCAATTTAACTTTAAAGAAGCTAATCTGTTTTTTTGTTTTTGGGGTTTTTTTTTTTAAAAAAAAAACGGAGTTTAATTCTTTATGCCCAGGCTAGAGTGTAGTGATGTGATCACAGCTCACTGCAGCCTCAATCTCTCAGGCCCAAGTGATCCTCCCACTTCAGTCTCCCGAGGAGCTGGGACTACAGGCACATATCACCACACCCGGCTAATTTAAAACAATTTTTTTTTTTCGTAGAGACGGGATCTCCCTATGTTGCCCCTGCTGGTCTTCGACTCTTGGGCTCAAGGAATACTCTCGCATTGGCCTCTGAAAGTGGTAGGATTACAATCGTGACCCACCATGCTGGCCTAATTGATCTTTTAAAAAGCCTTAAGCAAACAAATGTCTTTCTGGGATCAGGCTCTTTTCTGCACTTTGACATGGGTAGTATTGAAGAGTGCAGAGTAACCTCCTGGCTCCTGGCCCCTGGCCCCTGCTCTGTCCTAACTCCCAGGAATCCCTGGCTCTGCCTTGATCTCCTAGTGCACTTTTGAGCTGCTTTGACTTCAGAGACCTTGGTTTGCACGTATGAATCCCTTGAGGCTCCCTTTCATAGGTACCTGGCTCTCCAGCCTCAAGCCTTTGGGAATTTCTGGGCAGACGAACTTGCCTTCCTCTTGGCTTCCTCCTCTGCAGGACGTTAGCTTCAGCTTCTCTGCTCTATGTCAGTTATCCATTCTTTGCTCTCCATCTTCCAGAATTCTGACATTTTCCATCTGTCATCACCTGCATTTGTCTTTATATTTCAAAAGTTTATAGCTCTTTTTAAAACATTATTATCCCTTTTCTATCAGTTTAATGAAAATTCTGAGTAGAGAATCACTGCTTCTCTTGAGTAATTCATATTTGGCTTTCTCTCTACTATGGTAGGTTCCTATTTCCTAAGTTGATATTTCCTTGATCTCCTGATTCTTCTGAAAACAGGAGCCTCAGTTTTCAGCTTTCTGGATAATTTGAAAAATACATCTACTCAGCCTTCAGAGCCCTACTTGTTCTGTGGTTAATATGGAGTCAGAAACAAGTCAATATAAGTCACCTTTTGCAAATATCAGTTAAAACTTAGGGGATGTGTCAGGATAAAAGTTAGGTGTAATTAGTTTAAAGTCAAGCTAACTCTGGGAAATTTCTTCTTGATGGAAAAATAATACTTACAAGGTCAGATAAGCTTTTCTCCTTTGACTATGAAGAAGGGAATATTTAGGGACTGGAAGTTGAAACTTTTCCTTAGAACAAGATTGGGAGTTGTAACATTGCCTAAACTCACAGCAATTTTTTTTTTTTTATACAATTGCATGGCACTTTCAGTTTCAAAGATCCTTTTTTGGGGAGGTGGTTAGAACTTAAAATAATACCTTCCATCTTTAGTACAGTTGTTGGTGGGGTATTGGTTCCAGGACACCCCCACAGATACCAAAATCTGTGGTTGCTCAAGTCCCTTATATAAAATGGCGTGTGTAGTAAGTATTTGCATGTAACCTACGCACATCCTCCCGTATGCTTTAAATCATCTCTGGATTACTTATAATACCTAATACAATGCCTATACATCACTTCTTTTACAAAGATCCAGTGTAGTACTAGGTGAGCAGCAAATTCAAGTTTTGCTTTTTGGAATTTTGTAAAATATCCCCCCTAATCTTTTTTTTTTCTTTCATTCTTTCTTTTCTTCTCTTTCTTTTTGAGACTGAGTCTCACTCCTCCCAGGCTGGAGTGCAGTGGCATGATCTCAGCTCACTGCAGTCACCATATCCCGGGTTCAAGTGATTCTCCCATCTCAGCCTCCTGAGTAGCTGGGATTACAGGCACCTGCCATCATGCCCAGCTAATTTTTGTATTTCAGTAGAGATGGGGTTTCACCATGTTGGCCAGGCTGGTCTTGAACTCCTGACCTTAGGTAATCCACCTGCCTCAGCCTCCCAAAGTGCTAGGATTACAGGCATGAGCCACTGTACACATCCCCCATACCCCAAATATTTTCCATCTCCAGTTGATTGAATCCATGGATTTGGAACCCATGGATACAGAGGGATGACTGAATAGAACTTTTTCACATATTTGAGTTTTTTTCTGCAGAAGTGTAATCAGTTCTTTTAGGGTAGGGATTGTTTCTGATACATCTCAGCATCTCTGCGTGCCAGAATGAGGGCCTACCATAAGGTCAGGCACATAGAGCTCATTTAATCTTTCTGTCAACCCATGAATGAGGAACTACTATTACTCTAATTTTAAAGCTGTGGAAACTGAGGCACAAGCTACACAGCTGTAGTAAGGGGTAGAGGTAAGAGGTATTAATTTATTTTATAGAGGGAATGAAAATTGTGGGTAAGTCAGACAAGTTGGTTCCTAGGAACCAACTCCACCAAGAGGAACTGACTCCACCGATTAACCAGGTTAGTTGCCTCCTACCCAAGTACACAGCAGCATTTGCCTTCAGTGACAACATGTAAGGTGCTTTCTGGAGAGACAGACCTGGGATTTCATGGAGCTTGCAGAATCAGTTGTATGACTGCTGGCTAATAGATTCCTTGACAAGTTTGGCCTAAGACTATCTCTGAAACATACCACCTGAAGCGAGGTTGTGGAGAAGCCCTATAGCTCAATCTCTATCTTAACTATTGGAGGCTACTGATATCTACCTTGAAGATGTTATTCATAATAAATGTGAATGACCAAACTGACTTAGTTTAATTTGTAACCTCCTTCTCCCTTAGTTATCTCCAGCCAAAAGAAATCTAGTCTAAGAGACTCACAAAATGTCTTGTAAAAATTTACCACAGGCCTCAAGCAGACTCCGGGGGCTGAAGTCTCTCTGACGTGAAGCCCTTCCTGCAGGGTGTGAGCATTTGGAACACAAGTAAGGCCTGTGGGCTAAAATCTCCAACTGGCAGCAGTTAGAGATTTAATGTCGTCCCCAAGCACTATAGAATTCCAGTGGGAAGGGAGTTCTGAACAAAGGCAGCTGAGGTTAGAAGGATGGTAGCCTCAGGATCACTCCTTTCACTTTTGGCCCATGATTGAGGAAATTCTGCCTCAGCAGCCCCTGTCTCTCTCCCTTTCTGCATCTATCTCATACATCCCCACTGGTGTTCCCCGCTTTCAAGTAGCTGCAAGTTCCAAAGACATTGGAGAATGTTGGCCTTGTTGGTTATCTCATATCACAAATAATCTGAGAGTTGCTTGTGAATTGCAGAACTATTTAGATTTTGAGGTCAGAGGCACAGAACTGGTACTTTAAAAATGTATTTTTATTTTTTAATTATTATATTATTTTTTAAGAAATAGAGATGGGGTCTTGCTATGTTGTGTAGGCTGGTCTTGAAATTCTGGCCTCAAGCGATTCTCCTGCCTTGGCCTCCCAAACTGCTGGGACTAGAGGCATGCACCACTGTACCCAGCCTTTAAAATGTCTTAAAAAATGAAAAACTGTATCTGAATATAAATAATAAGAACAACACTAGAGTATTGAGACTATATTATCCAATACAGTTGATAAAACTATAGACCACACTCTCTGGACATTCACACAAGCGTTTCAGTTTTAATTTCATATACATTGAAAAGTGATGTACATTTGACTATAGAGGATTTGAAATGTGACTCATACAACCGAGGAACTGAATTTTTTATTTTGTTATTTTAAGTAACTTAAATTTAAATAGCCACTTGTGAGTAGTGGCTACCATCCTGGTCTCCACACATCCAGAATATGGCGATAAGCTTGTATCAGGATAGTCTGGGTTATGTTGCAGCCACAGAGAACCCTATAATCTTGGTGATTTATAAGAACAAATGTTGATTTCTTGCTTGTGTTATGTACCCATTTTGGGATGGCTGGAGACCCAGATGGTTGCAGCAGCCACCATCTCACACATTGCCAGTCATTATGAAGAGGCTTGTACCAGCACATAAATGCTCTGGTCCCGAGGGTACATATATCACTTCTGGTCACAGCTCACTGACCAGGACTAGCAACACGGCCCCACCTAACCAGGAAGCCAAGAGTGAAGCTCTGTGTGCAGAGATGCTTAGCAACAACTGCCACTGACATTAGCACCCCCCCCCCAACTTTCAAAATACAGAGAAGGTGTCCTAAGGGATAGAGTGGTGCTACTTGTGTTTTCTTGAAAAATGGAGAATTGGGTTTCTCAGAACTCAATCATTTATTACCTCCTGTGTACTCATTAGCACAGATTTATCAAAAACAGGTGAGGTGTGGCGCAAAAAGCAAATTTCAAACATTTTATCAAAAATAAAGTCTTTACATAAATTTAGAGCTGACAACAGTCAGCATGTCTTATTATTTGCATGTAAGAAATATCTTTTTTTTTTTTTTTTTTTTTTAGAAAAAGAAGGGGAAAAAAGAAAAAGAGGGAAAAAGGAATATTACTTCATTCCTAAAATGGGTTTCAATAATGGCCGATCAATATTTTGAGTGTTTAAAGTGGTTAATGCATATTTTATGTGTTTAAAATGGAGACCTCTATTGTGTTTATTTGTTCTGGCTCTGAGTTCAAGTCCTGGATATCGTTATCAATTTGTTGTCTCGTTGAATCTAAATCTCATTATGTGTCTTATGTATCTGGGTGTTAAGATCTCTTATTGTTGCATTAATCCTTTTACCCTTGCATCCTTGTAGCTTTGAAATCTATTTTATTAAGTGTGAGAATTGCAACTCCTGCTATTTATTTATTTATTTTTGCTCTCCATTTGGTTGGTGAGTTTTTTTCCATCCCCTTGTTTTGAGTCTTTGTATATCTTTAGATATATCGTTAGATTTTGTGGATAATGTATATTTTGTGTGTTTAAAATGGAGAGGTCTATTGAGTTTATTTGTTCTGGATCTTAGTTCCAGTCCCGGATATCATTATCAATTTTCTGTCTTGTTGAATCTAAATCTCATTATGGGTCTTATGTATCTGGGTGTTAAGATCTCTTATTATTACATTAATCAGAAATATCTTTTAAGAATATATGCAATGTAAGGAATAATCAATGGATTTTAAAAATATATTTGGGATGAAAATGAATGGAAGAAAGTATATCTGTTAATTTTCTTGGTGCAGAATATAAATTGTACATTTTTCTTTTTTTTTTTTTTTGAGACGGAGTTTCACTCTTGTTACCCAGGCTGGAGTGCAATGGCGCGATCTCAGCTCACCGCAACATCTGCCTCCTGGGTTCAGGCAATTCTCCTGTCTCAGCCTCCTGAGTAGCTGGGATTACAGGCATGCGCCACCATGCCCAGCTAATTTTTTTGTATTTTTAGTTGAGATGGGGTTTCACCATGTTGACCAGGATGGTCTCGATCTGTTGACCTCATGATCCACCCGCCTCGGCCTCCCAAAGTGCTGGGATTACAGGCTTGAGCCACCACGCCTGGCACATTTTTCATTAGCAAGGAATAAAAAGTCATTTTTAAAAAAATAATAAATTACTCACTAGGGACTTTTGTTGATTGTGATTGTCTTAAAAATGAAAACATTAAATATTAACAGGACAATGGATTCTTTCTAAACTACATCAAAGAATCACAGAATTATCTAGCCCTACATTTAACAGCTTGTCAAACTTATTTCTAGACCATCTACAATACTGTTTGAACATCTGAAGACATGGGGAACTCATGTCTGATATCTGATAACAGACTTCCTACAAGGCAGGACTGGTAGTTTCCTGATAAATTTTTCAGTATGAAGATATGGATTTGGCTGCCAGTAATGAATTGCACCAAAGTCACCATTTCAAACCATGCCCTAGTAAGTAATATTGATGATGATGATGTCACATGTTAAAAATGTCATGTAGATTTTAGCATTTTGAGGAACTGATAGTCTATAATGGTGGTCCCTAACCTTTTTGGCATCAGGGACAAGTTTCATGGAAGACAGTTTTTCCAAGGACCAGGAGAGGGGGTGGTTTTGGGATGATTCAAGGGCATTACATTTATTGTGCACTTTATTTCTATTATTATTACATTGTAATATATGCTGAAATAATTATACAACTCACCATAATGTAGAACCAGTGGAAGCCCTGAGCTTGTTTTCCTGCAACTGGACCGCCCCATCTAGGAGTGATGGGGAGACAGTGACAGATCATCAGGTGTTAGATTCTCATTAAGGAGCCTGAAACCTAGATCCCTCACATGAGCAGTTCACAATAGGGTTCGTGCTCCTGTGAGAACCTAATGCCACTGATATGATGGGAGGCAGAGCTCAGGCAGTAATTTGAGCAGTGGGGATCAGCGGTAAATACAGATGAAGCTTTGCTAACCTGCCCACTGCTTACCTCCTTATGCATGTCCTGGTTCCTCACAGGCCACATACCCCGGGGGTTGGGGACCCCTGCTCTGTAAGATACCCTTCTAGAATGATACAGTACTGAACTGATGCTGAAGAGACATTTTGAACTAAATGTGTAAATTAGGCTACCTATATAAACAAGAACCCCGTAAATCATTCTGTTCTGTGGTAAAACTCAACCACATAAGCCAGTTCTTCACCACATTTATGTTTGTTTTTATGCACCACAGTGTTTGTTTTTCATTTCCAAGACATATCTGTGTCCTTTACAACTGGTAACATGGAAAGAAGAAGTTTGCAATGATTGAACAAACAGCATGCGCTGTGGTATCCTTTATTTAAAAATCGTGAGCTGACTACAGTTGTAGTGTTCTCATTTACCATTCTGATGGCATAATGAACCGAGAGAACATTAACACAATTCTAAAAAGGCATTAACCTGTAACACACATATATACCACACATGCACACACACAACATACATGAACACAAAGGTTATATTCTGAACACAATTAAAAGTGATAGAGAAAAGCTTTGAATCCTCTAAATCAAATAAAAACCCTTTATTAACTGTGGCAATACTGTGGCTATTATGAAAAATATTGTAACTATTTTAAGAGCAAAAGGAAAAATACTGGCAATTTGAAACTAGCAGCAAAAAGCAGATAAAAATAGAATGGAAGATAACATAAGACTAATATCAAAATTCTAATGTTGATACTGTGTAGGATTGCACTGAAGTAATTTTAAATTGATTCTTAAGGAACTCTTAAAAAGTCCCTTAAAATATTAAATGGCTGCACCTTACAAACAGTGGGGGAAGAAAAAGTATTTGGAATGTTACACTCACACACAGACACACACACACACACACACACACACAGAGAGGAAATGTATCAGGTCTATCAATTATGGTCTTTGTTTATGACCTTTGAAAAGTTTTATAAAGAAAAAAATTTAAGTGCCAATGTAGTGAAAAAGTTAAAAATTCCTAAAGATGCAAGTCTGAGTGCATTTACCAGGTCTAAGAATATATTTAAAGGTTGAGGGCAAGGCATGATTGATGCACATTTAAGAAGAAAGATATGGAACCCATAAGGTGGGTCAAGTTCTTTGGAGAGTGTTGAGAATGAAGATGAATTAAACTCCGGCTATCTTGGAGAAGATTCCAAAGTACATGGAGTTCTCCAGCTCTTTATCAGTTGAAATCTGTTTCATAGTGGCCAATAGATAATTAAGACTAACGTTTCAGCAAACTGGTTTTTCGTACATTCAAACACAAACATCTTTACCACACATGCAGAACTGATATTCTGTAACAACATAAATATGAATCCTGGTACAAAGAAAACCACGTTAGCAAGGATTTTTTTCCCCCATGGGTTCTTAACCAGATGTCTAAAGCTGCTAGACATTTGCAAAGAGGGGATAAGTTTAGATTTCCTACTGATTTTGGAAGAAAAATATTTTCCTAAGGAAGCCAGAGTCATCCATGAGCAGGGGACCTGTCTTCAGAATTTAAGAAGCATAATGTTGCCAATGCTTAAACTCATGACAAGTTCAGATCTAGAAAAACTGGCAGGTGGAAGGGGAAAGAGAAATGGAGAGTCTGAATGTCTGCAATACTTTGGAATAAATTGTGCCTGATAAGTTAGAATGGCTCAACTGCTTTCAGAAGGAAGTGCTGCAGTACTGGGAGAAAACCCAGTTCTCTGGAGTTAGGGGGTGGGGAGAGAAAGGCCTCCTGTCTCCAGGGACCCTCTGGGCTGAGCTGTGGCCCAGAACCCTCCTTTTGGCCTTATTTTTCATGAGCGCATTCAAGTGGAGAATTTATGACTTTGCCCAGATAAATATTTTGTTTGGTTACTTTCTCTCTAAATTCAATTGGTCAGGCAAGTTACTGGTGATTTCCCTAAATGACATCTAGTGGCACTAGTATCTTAAGTGCCAGCTAATGTAGATTAATGCCCATCAATAACACTGCCAGGTACCAACCGCTGTTGCTGAAGAATCAACCCACAAATGACCTAACTAGATAATCTATCACAACTAGGTGCTTTTGCTATCTTGAGTTTTTTTGAGTTTTAGAGAAACAGTCCTTTTAATATGACTTAGAAACTGCTTTTGTCTGGCTTTGATTCACTCTTCTTCCTCTTCCCCTTCCCCTTCGCCTTCCTCCATTGTTTCCACAATGAGCTCTGCTGTGCAGGTGGCTTCTCCAAGACTGTTGACAGCCTTGCAGGTGTACTTGGCATCATCATCCCCGCAAACATCACTAATAATTAAAGAGCAGTTCCCGTCCTCATCGTAGTCTATCTGGAAGTGGCGGGACTCCCTGATTGACTGGTCGTCTTTGAACCAGACAACCTCGGGGTCCGGGTAGCCTGCATCACAGGGAGAGAACACAAGTTACAGGAACTGTTATTCAAAATTTCTTATCAACTCATGCAAGCAACTCCTAAGCTACCACTATTGATTAAGGTGGTTAAGGGAAAAATGTTGATATTGGCCTTTATCAGCTGTTTTGATATCTATATTAGAATATGGGCATGTCTTGTAAATATCAATATCTGAAACCCCAAATAGAGTATTTTAAAGTTGTTCCATTTCCCACACATGTTGGACTAGCACCACATCCCACCTATTAAATTTTTTTTTTTTTTTTTTTTAAGCACTGAGTCTCACTCTGTTGCCTAGGCTGGAGTGCAGTGGCATGATCATAGCTCACTGTTGCTCTAATTCCTGGTTCCAAATATTACTCCCTTCTCAGCCTCCTGAGTAGTAGGACTATAGGAACAAGCAACTATGCTCAGTTAAACATCCCACCTTTCACTTTTTGGGCGGTAGGGAGGCCGGGTCTTATTCTATCACCCAGGCTGGAGGGCAGTGGCATGACCATGGCTCACTGCTGCCTCAACCTCCTGGTCTTAAGCAATCCTCCTGTCTCAGCCACCCAAGTAGCTGGGGCGACAGGTGCACACCACCGTGGCTGGCTAATTTAAAAAAATGTTTTGGTGGAGACAGGGTCTCCTTATGTTGCCCAGGCTGGTCTTGAACTCCTGGGCTCAAGTGGTACTCCAAACTTGGCCTCCCAAGTGCTGGGATTACAGGTATAAACCACCACACCTACCCACCTTTAAATAGACACAGTACTACCTGAGGCTAGGCATGGTGGTTCACACCTATAATCCCAGCACTTTGGGAGGCCAAGGTAGGCAGAGATTAAGACCAGCCTGGCCAACATGGCAAAACTAAATAAAAAATAGAGTACTACCTGAAATACTGCTCCAACTACAACTCTATATGCCTAGAGAGTTGATGCCTAGCATCAGCCTTCTTAGATTGAAAATACAATTTTCTTTTTTCTTTTCTTTTTTTTCCTGAGACCAAGTCTCACTCTGTCACTCAGGCTGGAGCACAGTGGTGCTATCTCAGCTCACTGTAACCTCCACTTCCAAGGTTGAAAAGATTCTCGTGCCTCAGTCTTCTGAGTAGCTGAGATTACAGGCATGCGCCACCACACCTGGCTAATTTTATTTTTAGTAGAGACAGGGTTTCACCATGTTGACCAGGCTGGTCTCTAACTCCTGACCTCAGGTGATCTGCCTGCCTTGGCCTCCCAAAGTGCTGGAATTACAGGTGTGACCCACTGCGCCTGGCTGAAAATACAAGTTTCTATCTTTTTGTTGTTGTTGTTGTTGTTAAGGCAGGGTCTTGCTCTGTCACCTAGGTAGGAGTGCAGTGGCATGATCTTGGGTCACTACAATCTCCACTATCCAGGCTCAAGTGATCCTCCCACCTCAGCCTCCTGAGTAGCTCAGACTACAGGTACATACCACCACACCAAGCTAATTTTCATATTTTTTTTGTAGAGATGGAGTTTCACCATGTTGCCCAGGCTGGTTTTGAACTCCTGGACTCAAGCGATCTCTCTGCCTTGACCTCCCAAAGTGTTGGGATTACAGGCATGAGCCATTATGCCCAGCCTAAGTTTTCGATTTTGTATAATAGTTTAAGTTAAACAATTTAAATCAGAAATAAGAGTCAAAACAAATGGGAACAAGGAATCTTTTTGGAGTGATGAAAATGTTCTAAAACTGGATTGTGGTGGTGGTTGCATGACTGTAAATTCATTAAAAATAATTGAATTATGCACTTAAAATAGGTAAGTTTTATGGTTACATAAATTATAACTCAGTGAAGCTAATTACACTATATAAAACATAATTTAAAAGAGCTGACAATATTGCTAAGAAGAAGAAAGCAATATTTGTCTTAGTGTGATTCAAAGCAGGTAATTTGCCTGTGGACAATTGGAAATGGACTTCACTAATTAGCCTTTATGCATTAGTCATGCTTCTGCAGAGTTCAGCATTAAAAAATAAAATATACAGGCATATAAAATACATATATATCATGTATGTTTAAAGTATATGTGTGTATATATATATATATATATATATATGTCCACATACATTACCAACATTGTACATTTTGGTTGCATGCATATGGTATATATATGTATCCCCCTTTTAAAGCCATATATATACATATCTTTAAAAATATACAATATATTCCACCTGACTTTCTCTTAAATGTTGGAGAAGTATTTTTATAGGAAAAAAATTGTAGCCCTGATACAGTTTGGATATTTGTGATCCCCAGTGTTGGAGGTGGGGCCTGGTGGGAGGTACTTGGGTCATGGGGGCGGATCCCTCTTGAATGTCTTGGTCCCCTCTGTGAGGTAATGAGTGAGTTCTTTCCTTGCTCTGTTAGTTCAGGCGGATCTGGTTGTTAAAAAGTGGCACATCCTTTTTTTCTTACTCTCTCTCTTGCCATATGACATGCCTGCTCCTGCTATGATTGAAACCATCCTGAGGCCTCGCTGGATGCAGATGCTGGCACCAAGCCAAATAAGCGTCTTTTCTTTATAAATTACCCAGCCTCAGATATCCCCTGATAGCAATTCAAATGGGCTCATACAAGCCCTAACCAGAATAAAAATTATACCTAAGAAATCAAGAATTCTAACATTCTTTTCAACTTTGTTTTTTCAAAACAATTTTGGAAATTGTTTTTTCAAAGCAATTAGGAACAGCCAGACCATGAGGAAAACTGGGTCAGAAAGAACTGGTCATAAAGGACCCTGCACTCCCACACCCTGCACTCTCGGTGCAAAAGTTTCCATTTTGTTTTTATCAAAACAGTGTCCCTATGCTTTAATTTCTCATTAGAGTTCCAGCCAAAAGTTACATAAATATCAACAAAACAATTCCAAAGAGAAAATTAAGTATGAAACAATCCCAAAGAGAAAACTAAGTACAAAATCATAATCATTTTTATTTTAAAACATTCAAAAAGGAAAAAGAAAAAAAGTTTTAGAAGACCCAAATGCAATCATAATGGTGAGAATTGCAAGCAGTGGCTCCAGAGCCTTCAGCAGAATCCCCAGTCCGAGAATTTTTACATTATCAAAGGCAGCACGTCTACTTTCTTTTAATTGAATGAAGAAAGGAAAATGATTATGGTAGGCGAAGCATTGACAAAGCACTTTGATAATATAAAGATGCAGAAGAAAAACTATTTTTTTCCATTCCTAACTTTGGGTTCTTTTACTCAAAAGGCATTGTCTAGTCACATTGCTGGAGAATCACCGACAGTGGGAGGCACAGTTTGTTCTGACTGCTGTACTGTGTTATGCAGCCTCGGGGAAGTTGCCTAATAAACTATGCTTTATTTGGTCAGATCAAAATAGGCGATAACCCACCACCCTGGTTGGCAGGTGAAAGTCACAGACTTGAAGCATAGGGCCCTGCCTTATCTTGTCCCTTCTCTTTCTAGACGGTTGCAATCTGTGGAAATGGAAACACTTTGTGTCATCAATTTTGCTCATTTCTCAGGTGGTATGCCATGACCCCTTAAGGTCCCTTGAGCTCTGACCACTGACAGTTCCATGGCTGCATTATTCCCAGCAGGCAGATAAGCAACCTGGGGAAGATGGCGCCCACTGAGTGCTTTGTCCCTGGTGCCTGGCTCCCAACTGGCCTCAGTCTGAAGTCACATTGCATGGTCTCTCTCTGTACCTGCCAGTCCCACAACTTTTCCCTTTACTGCATGACATCTTTACAAGATCTAAAAGGTTCCCCCTTCTCACATATGTCCTCTCACAGATTCCCAGGGCCAATCTGTGACTTAGCTATCATCTTACAGCTGAGGGACCTTCACCCAGGGGAGTTGGACCACCATTCAAGGTCACACAGCCTGCAGACTCCACATCCTAGGCCTTTGCGCCAGCCTTCCTTTGAGGGCCTCCTATGGGCAAGTCACATGCTTTTTACCAGTTTGCAAAGCTCATTTCACTAAGCATGTCCCCAAGCCAGGTAAGTCCATGCAAGGCCATTTCTAAACTTAGTTCTAAGTGGCTGATGTAAGTAGGTGAAATTTCAAATGTGCCCTCTGGGGAAGTGACTGAAGGACACACCTTTAGGAGGTGGTCGTGCAGGGAATTGCCCTTTATGACCAGCTCCTGCTGACCCAATTTCCCTCAAAGCTTGGTGGTTTCTCATTGCCCCAGGTGGCACAGAACTGACATCTTGCCCAGGGTGCATGGCATGGGCCCTGCCATCCAGCCACACCCTATTCATGGTGAAGAAAAGCACAGCTACAACTTACCTTCAATCTTGCAGTCAAATCTAGCAGCACTTCCCTCCACAACTTCTAAATCACGAATGGTCTTAGAGAAATAGGGTTTTACGTGGGGCTTTTCCTCAGCAACGGCCTCAAGGAAAGCTTGGGACACATCTTCTAGAAGACAGAGACGAAGACCAGGTTATTTCTTCATTCCTTCTTCTCTCTTCTCCTCTAGTTCAAAGAAACTAACTTTTTAAAAAGTCGCTGTGATTTAGCAAGAAGGCAGCTTTGAGAACTGAATCATAAGTACGCCTTTCTCCTGGGGACAGGTTGGCCTGCTGCCAAATGGTTTTTGGCAGCAGAGAGAACTGTGCCCAAACTGAGGAAATGTTCAGCCTCCTCCTTTCCCTTATGCTGACATATTGAAAAGGGAAATGATCTTTAAAAAGGATTTCTGGCCGCATTTCATGCTGCTTCAGGATTCAGCTGAGGGTATCTGAGCAGGGCAGGACCTCACCAGCCTTCCTGGTCTTGGTATCCCTCTGCCCTCCTTCTGTAGCAGGTGTTTCACCTGCTTTTTAGAAAGGAGGAGCCAGGTCCTAGCAGCATCTTCAGCTTGCCAGTGGCTTTCTCCATGCGTATACTGCCTTCATGCTGTGTGACTGTGGACCAGGGTGTGGGATTGGCTCAGGGAAAAGCTGTAACTTGGAGGGACATCTGTATCTCCTTTCTCCCCTTCAGGCTATGTCTTGGTCATCTGAGAAGGGACAGGAGGGGCTGAGGAGGGACCACGCCTGTGTGCTGCAGACTCTGTCCCTGGCTGCAAGGAAGATCCAGAGCAGGCAGCTACTGGCCTCACCAGTGACCCTACCTTTGCTCATTAAAGGGATCTAAACTCAGCTTCTCACCTGTGGATAGAAAAAGTACCAGACAAAGAGGGACAGAAGGTGTCTCTGGCCAAATGAGGCACCTCCAGAAGATAAAGGCCAGGCCCTGTGTGCCCCTGAAGCAGGAAAAGGCTGGGGCTTTCACTGAGGAGATCAATGGGACAGCATCTCAAAGGCAGTGGACAAGTAACTGACCCTACTGGTCTCCAGGAGGGTCCCCGCCAATCCCACTCTGCCCAGTTCAAATGACATGATTCAGCAGCATGAGCAATGCGAAAAAAAGTGGACCATATGAATTAATTTTTATTTAAAACAAAACCACAAAGATGATAAAGAACATTTTATAAATCTTATGCAACTACATGTAATTTAAATTTTATTTTTACCTATTAATATAGAAGTATCACTTTTTTAATGAGAACGAAGGAAGCTTTTAATAAAGTCTGTGATAATTTTAACACAAAATATATGAAAAAGCATAGCTGAGGTCATCTATTTCTATTAGACAAATAAAAACTTTCCCTCTAAAAATGGTTCAGCCTAAGGTTAAACAATTAAGAATAATTATTAGACTTAGTAATTGCCAGAGCAACCCAAAATTACTTCTGAATTTATACTTGTAGGGCATATTAAAAAAAAAAAACAAGAACAACAACAAAACCAACCAAAACCTCGAAATGCCCCTGTGTTCCCCAACCCTTTCTCACCAACTGGCTGGAGAAACCTCTCCTTACCTTCAGATTCTAGTTTTTCTGCGTTGAGTGGGCTGGTTGGTGACCCTGTTGAGGCTTTCCTGCCACTGAGCCCCGAGATCATTGCCATAGAGGACAGCCTTCCAATGGCTCTCACAGCATTGCCCGTTTTCTGGAAAATAGACACGGGGGTTGGATTCAGGCGTTGTCCCTGGTTCCAGCTGGGTAGTGCGAGGGGCTGTGGGGAGTAGAGCCCAGCCCTGGAGAAGCAGCTGTTCCCTGGAACAAGGACCTCCCGGGAGCCAAGGCTCTGCCAGAGGAGTGAGCCCAACCTTGCTCTGCTCAGCACTGTCAGTGTGTCAGAAGATGTTCAGAGAATGGAATGGGGCCTGGAACTGATGTGTGCGTTAATGTGACTAAACAAGGTCAACATGAGACAAAAACCCTTTTCATACAGTGCTTCAACTCCCATAAAAGGGATAGTTTATATAAAGCAACTGCAGGCTGAGACAGCTCCAAAGACTTATTGCTAACTGGGCCTAGCGGGGCTGTTTCTCGTAAAACAATGCTAGTGGTGTGATTTTAATTAGCCAAGAGGATAGTTACTATAGATCCCACAAGTCCTGATGCAAAAATAATCATAATAATAACAACACAGCATTCTATTGACCTTGGGCAAGTCACTTAACCACTCTGAGCTTCAGTTTCCTTCTCTGGAAAGAAGGGGCTGGACAAGATGATCTCCAAGGTCCCATTCAGCGCTGTTTATAATTCAGATACTTAAGAGATTTTGAGAAACACTCTGGCTGGCCCCAGCACAAGTCTATGATGCAGTGAAGCTCTGGAGGGGAGCTCTTTCCTACTGTGCATTCAGGCACCAAAGAGAAGCATCGAAGAAATAAAAGGCAACGGCACTTTACTTTTCGGCAGCTAGACTTGGGACGGGACAGAATTTCTGCTGAAAAGGATCAGAACTTGAGATGAAATTTCTTTAGGTTGTAAAAATTCTACCAAGCATAGGATCCCTAATTATGTACAATTGTGTCTTATTGTTTGTTATCTTTCAATAAGTTTTTCACCCTTTTTCTAAGGTTAACGGGAATGACTAAGATAAGAAAACTAAGGCACAACCAAGTCTTTCCACCCCTGCACCCAAAACATCTTTTTTAGGCATCTAAAAGCTGTGCATCCAGACAGCAGATGCCACCACAGACTGGCTACTTGTGCCCCCTGAGAGAGGAAGGAAACAGCCTCTTCATAGGCAAATGACTTGTACTCAGTACACCTCAAACTCTGCCGGCAAAGCCATTTTCTGCCTGAGTTCACTTCACATGCTCAAGTACTTGAGTAAAGCCTCACAGTTTAGGGCTAGTTGGAAAGCCAGTAAGCTTCAGTAAAAAGACGACTCATTTTGAAAATAAATAACTTCAGGGTGCTAAGGAAACATACCGAAAATTGTGTGCATGTGTGCATGGTTAAAGAGGAGACCCACTGCTGCCAGCAGGATGACCTTACTGTCATGCCTCCTGCCGTCCTTGCTGTAGACCCGGACATGCACTTCGGACAGACATCTCGCCTTGCTCTGTCCCCTGGCCATCCCTTCTCACATACGTCGCACTGTGTGGTGTGGGTATGTTTCTGGCCTCTGCCTCCACAGTGAGGCTGGGTCACTGAAGAGAATCCAGGCAGTCCCAGGTGGAGGTGAAGAGGAGGGGATGATGGTGAGAGATGACAACTGAACAACTTAACTGTGCGCAGTACCACCATGTGCCCCTGCAGAAAATGCCCCTGCAGGCTCAGGCCACTTGGCAACCTTTCATGCTCTTCTAGGAGATGTTACTGGTGGTATGGTTGACGTGTTTGTTGTGCTAGCTGGAGTGTGGAGAGACCCAACTCTTCCCATGGGAGGTTACCCTGTTCTCAGGAACAGCTAAGAGGTGGTACCAGCCATGGCAGCCCTCCCTATGTAGTCAATACCAGACCAGTGTGCTTCTTAATCAACCCAATTCTCAGACTCTGCCCTTCTCTGCTCTCTATTCCCTTTATCCGACACAGATTGGTTTGTCCTGGGCTAGGAGCCTCTAAACTCAGAGGGCTTGTTCCCAACAAGGGGCAGGTTAGTTCTCTAACCCTAATTGCTGGGAGACCTTGTGCAAATCAGTTTCTCTCTCTGGGACTCAGTAGCCTTGGAGCATAAGATTCTAATCTCCCTGCAGTTCCAGACCTCTACAGAAAGACTCTGATTTATATCCATAAATGTGTAGCAGGGAACACCTGCCTTGAGCCCATGGGCTCCCCAATTCCAGACATCAGGATTGGGACTGATCAGGACTGTCTTCACTTGTGTGGTGTAGAAAGATGATGTCTTTTCCAGATTTTATTTCATAACAAAATGACTAATATGAGGCTATCAGAATGAGGCAAAAAAGTTATAGTATTTCAGAGGAAGTAGTAAATACATTAACAAATAAATAGGTCTCAAATAGGGAGAGCTTTTCTAAAAGATGGAGATATCAGCATAAAATATTTGGAAATTGATTTGTGAAAAAATTGTTGAGGAAGTTACTTGTCAGAACTAGAAACAAATATATCTGTATTTTCTAGTTTTCCAGTTTTATGCCTTTGAGCCAACAACTGGTTGCTGCTTTTCTTTTTTTTTTTTGAGACGGGGTTTCACTCTTGTTACCCAGGCTGGAGTGCAATGGCGCGATCTCGGCTCACCGCAACCTCCGCCTCCTGGGTTCAGGCAATTCTCCTGCCTCAGCTTCCTGAGTAGCTGGGATTACAGGCACACGCCACTGTGCCCAGCTAATTTTTTATATTTTTAGTAGAGACGGGGTTTCACCATGTTGACCAGGATGGTCTCGATCTGTTGACCTCGTGATCCACCCGCCTCGGCCTCCCAAAGTGCTGGTTGCTGCTTTACTGACCAAAGACTTTTGGAAAATTTTGGAACATCAAAACAGCCAAGTTTTAATTTTGTAATTTCTCCCTTCATTTTGAGAAAGTCTTTTTCTTGTTTGAGGGCAATTACCCAGGCTGGGTTCCTGTGTCCCTGGTGGGCACCAGCCTCCTTAATGCACCACAAATTCCCTGCCCCTTGGAGAGCTGGGGGTGCGGGGTGGCCAGCCATCCTGGCTTGCCCAGGCAGGCCTGTGGAGTTTCCCAGAATTAGGGTCTTTTGGTGCCAATACTAAGACATTGCCTGGTAAACATACGGCAAGCTGGTTCCCGTACACCAGCCAGCCATAAAAGCCCCTAATACATACCAACCATTTTCCCTGAGCAGTGCATACCATCCAAATGGTATGGCCAAGAATATTCTGCGCTATACTGAGCCCAGTGTTTTCTCCCCTATTGCCCTTGGTCCATAGTGCTGGGGTCTTTATGGTTCCCAAAAAATAAAGATGGCTGCCCACGGGCCTCTGATGTCTAGTCTTTTGCTTCCAGTGTGCATGCAGAAACCCTGTTAATCTGCTCAACTTACCTGCCTCCATTGCTACACCTTTCCAACATATCTTTGTAAAATTATTTTAATATAAATTTAAAATATACCTTCTTTCAAAATAACTTCATTCTAAGATGAATAATATAATCAGTCATCTGTATCCAGCTTAGCTTTTGTTGTAGGTATTTGTTTCCACATCACTTCATTCCTCCTAGGGCTTTTGTGAAAATCACACCACAAGAAGAAGAAGGTGCCTTTTCTGGCACAGCTGCTGAGAGTTCTGGGCCACCTGAGCCTGCCCTTCCCCTCTCCTTCTGCCCCCGCCCACAGCCCACTCCTTCCCACTCCACCCCACTGCACAGAACTTTGGCTGCTGCAAGAGGCGAGCTAAGGTCCTGGTGATTGCAGTTAAAATGTGGAAAACATATTTCTTGAGGAAGCAACATCACATGAAATAGTTGGAGCTGTTACCAGGGAAGCTACTTTTCAGGGACCCTACTTGTTGAATGGGATTTTTGTGGACAACTTTTGCATACAATTGCACGGAAAAATCATTTCCAAATGCCTCCACCTATACTAAAATATAAAATTAAGATTCCTTCTCTGAATTCTACCCTTTTCTTCCCCAGCCCTTCCAGAAAACCCTATGGCTAATAACACTATAAACAAGAAGAAAAAAAATTAGGTGATTCAAATATCAGCATAGGCTGGGCACTCAGCACTTTGGGAAGCCAAGGCAGGAGGATCGCTTGAGGCCAGGAGTTCAAGACTAGGCAACATAGCAAGACCCTGTCTCTATAAAAAAAAAAAAAATTAGCTGGTGTGGTGGTGTACACCTGTAGTCCCAGCTACCAGTTACTCAGGAGGCCAAGACGAAAGGATTGCTTGAGCCCAGGGGGTCAACACTGCAGTGAGCTATGATTGTACCATTGCCCTCTAGCCTGGGTGACAGCATGAAACCCTGTCCCTTTAAAAAAAAAAAAAAAATCAACACCACTTACGATTCTCTCATTGATTTAACTGAAAAATGCCATTTGCCTCCTCTCCTATTTCTTCATCTCTTTTCTGCTCCTAGCCCCAGGGTTTAGGCGTCCTCCTAGCTTTGGTTCATCTGCAGATGTTGCCAGGTGAAAAGGCTGCCCCTTAACCCATAGCTTTAGCCAAGCAAAATCCAGTTAGACTCGCTACTCTGAGGACTGCCCCACCCTGATATCAGCTTCCGTATCCTTTCCAGAAAGATTTCTTTGAGACCTGCTGGCCACAGGATTATTAACACAGCTGACCTTTGATTGTGTACATGCTCCCATGCCCCCACCGTTTTGTTTTGTTTTGAGACGGTGTCTTGCTCTGTCACCCAGGCTGGAGTGCAGTGGTGCAACCTTCGCCTCCCAGGTTCAAGTGATTCTTTTGCCTCAGCCTCTTGAGTAGCTGGGATTACAGGCATATGCCGCCATGCCCACCTAATTTTTGTATTTTTAGTAGAAATGGGGTTTCACCATGTTGGCCAGGATGGTCTTAATCTCTTGGCCTCCCAAAGTGCTGGGATTATAGGCGTGAGCCACTGTGCCTGGCCAGTCGCCCCCAGCTTTTTAAAAAACTAT